GTAAAGATCATCTTAAACAACGTGGTTCAGTGAGGTCGTACGTGACACCTCAATTTTCAAATCGACCAAATTATTTTTATGATGCAAAATTTGACTAATTTTTTCGAGAAGGTTCCCAAAAGTACAGCTGTCTGTAGAGAGAGGCTTTATGACACAAAGGGTACCGCTTTAATAGCCCTGAGCTGGACCAAGAGAGGGCGCAATTTTCCAGGCAACAGTGGTTCCATTCGTCTGAACTACACTTTCGTGGTTCACGAACCACTATTAAATACACGTGTAAGGGTCGCGTCGCTACCAACAAAATGAACAATTCAGACCATAATGGCTCTTTTTAACCGGTGAGGGAGTGCTTCTGCTAAAACCGGAGTATCTGGCAGCACATGTAACCAACAAAACCTCACTCACACTAATTGATTGACTGATGCAAAAAACGATATTCAGTGGCATTTATGTGAAATCCCCGCCTTTGAATACTTGTCAATTCATTTGACTGCTCCAGGAGATCGGATAATGCATTCATAATATGCACAACATGTATATTTGTCAAGGAGCAACATCGGTTTGTTGGTTTGTTTGTTTTCTTACTCGGAGGACAAACGATATTACAACAATCTACCCCTACAGATGGCCAAAAGGCAATGCTCAATGATTTGAAACACGAAAATGTGATGGGCTGTAAAATTTGATGGACAGCTCTTCTAAAAGGCAGGGTGACAGTGCGCAACGCTGACCCTTTCCGAACATGCATGGTTTGATTTACAGGCACAAGCACGCACTTTGATGTTAGTTTTGCCCCATTTTGCGAGCCACTGAAACAGTATCTGACACGAAAAAGTCCAGTTTCGTCAGAGCACAGCACTGTGTGAGCTTCTTTAAACCATGGGATTCGATACGAGACGCTTCAAAAATTGATTAATCATCCATTTTTTTTACATTTAGGGGTGGATCTGGGAGACCCTTAAGGACTAAGGTTCACAAGAAATCAGTGTCCTATGATGCATCTAAGCTTTGGATAATGTTTGTCGTGGGACTTTCTCAAATTTGTCAATGTCTCCAGAAAAACAGTCTAATTTTGCACTTTGCTTTCAGCCTATACGGAACTTATAGTGTGACCCCCTTTCTGTGAAGGCGTCAATCACACATCAAGCGTGCTAGGGTAAACGTTGCAGCGAAGTTCAAATATCGTCACGGTTTTTGAACCTCACTTCAAACAGAAATTCCAATGAAAACCAAACTTCCCCTGTTGATCAAAGCTGCCAGAATTGGGAGGAAGCCAATCAAAATCAATACCTGCGGTCTATTAAATTGAAAAATCAGTACACGCGTTCGTGAAAGCTTGAGCAACAAAAAGCTCATCGATTGTGACTCATCCAACAAGGATTATCACAATGGTTTCATCAAAGCGTTTTGACTCAGACGTAACAAAAAAATCTTTATGTTATCCAAGAATCATAAAATTAATTTGGAAGTATAATCTCTACAAGTTTACGTACATTTTTCCAAGTTTTGAAACTGTTTTTCTCATTGTTGTGTATGTACCGTCTCATCTACGACACTTTTAAGCACGACAGGTTACCGAAATGGCAAGACCTCCTTTGCCGTTTTGTCACTGGTGTTCTGTAGGCAACCGACGTAAACAACATGTCGCAGCTCCTACTGAAATCAAAGTTACGGTTCACCTAGCCTCATCGCGCAACACAAAGGCCTTCGAGCCATAACCAACAGACGGACTGGGTGGCATTATTACAGCTTTCAGCGTGTTCACAAGACGTCAAGATCGAAACTTGTTTGCGTCTTCTCGAAAAGGGCGGCCCGTAGGGCGGAGTGTGAAAAACATAAAGTCTTTGTATTCATAAGACATAAAACAAGGTAATTCAATCTTACTCATGTTATGATACTGCTCGAAACCGGAGAAGCGATCCGTGCCCCTTTGCCGCTTGCCATCAATTCTAAGCCCGTTTCTGGTTTCGCTTTCTAGTGCTATATAAAAAACAAGTTGAAAAAAACTTTAAGCAGCACATTGCCATAAAAACACGACTTCCAGAAAAAACTGGTTTAGACAGAAACAGTTACAATTGACAAGGAACTCTTGTACTGTACCTCGTAACAAATGAATCTTGACTCCAATAAAGTAGCAATTTTAGGGTCTTTGTGCATGCAAGATAAATTCCGTACGAGAAAGTGAACACCCGATCAGCTAACCACAGCCATTAGTAAATGAGGCTTATTCACGACAAAATGCTAAAATCAGAAACATGCAAGTAACATGTAGACCTCCTGCAACTTGGTAATAGTTCCTTCAACATGGCATGAAACCACTGAAAAATCGTGAAGTGCAATCCATCTTTTATAGTATTTTGTACTACAATTACCACACTAATAAGCTAGACTCGTCAGTAACGCGTTTGTAAAAAAACAAAAGGGGGGAGAAAAGAGGTACAAAAAGGATTGGAACCATGGACGTTCCCCATGGTATCCCTTCACCTCACACAATATACTGCAAACTACGTAATCAATTTCGAACGACGTTCCATTGTTCCTTCTTTGTGCCCACGCATTATGTTATTCAGGTGCTTGTAATGTATTGCCAGCAGACTTTGTAGGATGACATTTTGCTGTAAAAGCCTCGTTTGTTTAGCGCGGTGGGTAATTGGATGGGGGAAAATATTAACCCTAAGAGTCCAAAATCCTCCGATTTCAATTTGATTTTAGATACACCCTAGGGGGTTAGGGTTAATGACCTATACAGTCAGACACACCCGAATAGGTGTCCACACAGCGGGAAGATCAGCCTCTGCTGAGGCTTCAGAAGGTAAGAAACTCCTATTCAAAGCGAGTATCCTGCAGGCTGAACACGAACCCTTCGCAGTTTATTTGTCATTGCAATCCCTTGGCCATGAAGCTGAATTATACAAATCAACATCATGCTCGAGCTGCAACTCATAAACTATATGGACTCAAATCCGGCAGCATAATAACATGGGTTGTCTGAAATGTCAGCCCAGTCGTATTCCAGGGTATATTTTAAAGCAAATTGCATCTTGGTGGATTAGAATTGAACCCAAATATATTGGAATCGATCATGTCTATGCACATAGAGCAATGTCAGATTTTTTTAAACGGACAAAATGTTCTGTATACATAATTTATGTTCCTAAAGGTTTATCTTCTATCCTACGTGGCAAAACAGGAGTACTATACATAGACTAAATCCATGCAAAAATATCGACCTATGTTACCTGCACGGTATTTTGAGAAAGGCTTTTACCGGCTTCCGGAAAGAGTTTTGCTAAAAGCGCCGGCGGTTTTCATCGAAGTTGCACCAAAGGCTGAGCAAAAAAAAACATGAGGAATTTCCTTATGTAAAACATTTTATAGCCTTTCTGGGTGTGGTGGTAAACCTAAAATTTTCAACACACTTTTGAAGGAAAGGAAATGAAACGGTCTAAAACGGTCCTAACGTTTCTACCCTAATTTAAAAAGAAACCGGAGCGTGGCCTCCGTTCCCCCCACCCCCTTGGCTCCCGTCGGTCATCAAGTCTGCCAGCCAATCGCGGAACAAGCCTGCCAGCAGATCAGCTAGACAACGAGCCAGCCAACCAGTTAGCCGGTGGGTTGCTTGGTTAGTCAATCAGGAACCATCCTGCCAAAGCCAGCCAACCTTGCTAGTTATGTGAAAAGCCAGGCAGCCAGCAGACCAGCCAGCCCATGAGCCATCCATTCAGCTAATCTGTTAGCCTCTCATACCATCTAGTCAGGTGGACAACCGGACAGTCAGTTAGTTATACTAAGCTTTAGGGAAAGACCCTTATCCCAAATTTGTTAAAGTCTTGTTATTCTCTTGATTGGTTAGGCAGAAATTGTGCAGCCGCACATAGAAAAGAATATAGCCCAAAGATATTACTTGAAGACATGTGACCTATCGTTGCATAGCCTGACTGCTAGACGATCATCTCAGTATATTTATACATAATTAACTATGCAAATTCCACAACCTCGTCTGCCCGTATGTACCTTTCCCCACATGAATCTTCTTAATTTGGGTCACTTTGAAGAATGAAAACTTAAAGTGGAGAAGAGAAATTGTAAAACATCAAAATCTACTCCTTCAGAAATTTACACACTAATTTCTGGAAATTCAGTTACAGTTTAAACTCGCAAGTTTCAGAAAACCAAATTCAACAAGAGGACGGCTAAGATTCCGTTAATTGGAGGAGCCAGTCTAATCCAAATTGATCCTATTCCTATCCCGGTATATGTAGGAAACTCCTAACTACCGGCTTTCACAATGCTTCGGCTGTGTCAAGCAATACATGGGTCTGCTTAATTAACAAGGTAAATACCTGGAAAATGTGCTAAATCAACTGAAGTAATTGCAGCAACTATTTTTGTGTAATCGAATTTACTATTGCATTTGTTATAGTAGGATGAACCTAAAACAAGCCATTTTTCAATCGCACGCAAGTTCCCAGTAACAATATGAGAAATTATTTGCCTTTCAAATAAGCAATTTCTTTGCGTGAGCTGGTAACACTTCGGGCTTGTGGTTGGAGCATTTCTTAACGGTTTGAAATATCGTCTTGCCCATAAAATCTTAGCGTAGGCATAAAAGCTCGACAGCGTTCCAACCAATTCAGCTCACCCAAATCTGGTCATCCCTTGCTTATATGAAACTTAAGCATGTATGTAGTAGTAATAGTTACGGGGTGTAATGTTGTAGAAGTTGGTCCAATTCTACAAAAAGCCAACAGAATAGATCAAGGTTCATAGTGAATAGTGAAAGAGGCGTATAGAAAACCACGAGCGAATAACAATTGTCATGCCCACCCCCCCTTCCTCAAGATTGTTCCTTGCTACACTAGTTGTACTTTTCACGACACGTGCATGAAACTTGTCAAGTACCTCGCGATCACTCAAGACTGTATCATTATAATGTACTTCAGTGCGTGTGTGATGTCCTCCACTTTAATTAAAATCCGTTGTCTTACGTTTTCCTCACCGATCAAATTTTGGCACTTCACGCCTTCCAATGGAGATAAATTAACTGATTTCAAGTGCATAAACCCCGGTGTTTTTCTTTCAGTAAGTCGGGTTTTATGAAATGACAAACTGACAACACGTTTTCAAAATTATCTTTAATTTTTGATGACTTCAGCACTGTCCGTTTTCGAAACTTAGAATAGCACATTATTATTTGACAAAAGAGAAACGTCCTTTTTCAGGTGACTTTTAAACCCGTATATTAAAATTTCAGAACTCTTGATAGAAATATATATCAATAACAACCTTCCTTATACTAGGGCCAGACCAGAAAATAAGTTCACACCGTTTCAATCAGAGGAACCTATTTTGTCTTTGAATTAGGGGCCCGCAGTGGAACTGCAAAGTCTCTTGTACTTTCCCGGAGCAAACACATGAATTTGGTGTTCGTGTGCTTTTTGGTTTACTCCAGTGTGGATAATGTAATTCTGAATACACATTGCCTCCAGCTAGGCGTTTTATGCTTTTAACATAGGTTTTAAATGAGGTATTCCGTTTTATGTTTTTATTCTTTTAAGTAAGATTTATTTTATTTTTCCCCTTTTTTCCCTGTTTTAATAGCTTTTGTCACTTTTATGGATCCCACCTCAGAATGCAATACTGTGGTATACGCCTAAGGCGAGAGTTAAGTTCGTGCTCGGCTTTCCGGATTCAGAACTGGAATTTTTTATTTGAGGAGTCTCGCATCGGCCGACCAACAACTTACCGACATAAGTGATTTTTTCTCTCTTTTTTTTTTCTCCGCTGTTTGACCGACAGCCACGTCCCTGGTCCTCGGCTGTTAGTGCTAATGGTAAGAGATACGGTATTTTCTTTTTATTCTAAAAAAATGTATTCTTCCCTCTGACTTGAAGACCCATATTTGTTTTCCACGAGACCATAAGGAAATACTTTTTTGTTGTTTTCAGTCCTCCCCTAAAATTTGTCTTAAAAAATCTGAGTAGCAACCTAAAAAAAATGCTCGCCTAAAGTAGCTAAAATACTGCACCTTTGAGTCTGTCTCTAGCAGAGACGTTACCTCAGCTTGCAAGGTTCATTCCACAATTATACTGCTTGATTAAACTTCCTGTGCATAGGAGAGTTAACTGCTTAGATGCTATTTCTAGGCCTGCATGCATCCACGGCTTAACACAGAAAATGGGCTCGATAAGCCCCGGACTAAAGGAAGCCATGCAGGTACAGAACATCAGAGGACTTGATTTGATTGAACATTTTCGCAATTTCCATCGCAAGTTCTGAACTTACCGCGACGTAAAAGCGCAGGGGCTTTCCCGCCAATTAGCAGTCGAGATCGATCAGAGCCATACAGCTTGTGCTGCACCCCCCCATCGCTGATATCAGATTCACCTGCCAAGTACACAGAACCGCCGACTCCATAACACGCCACGAATATATGTACATGTATATAAAAAAGAAGAAAAGCACACACCATTAACAGCCTCGTGACTTAGGGGCGGTTTTGCGTTGCGGAGTAAGCGGAATGACAAAACGCCATCAGATAAATCTCGGGAACCGCCAAACAAATGCAAACGAGCTCCGCTAAAAGGCTGATATGTTACGATCCTGTCTTCAATGGTAAACAAAACCCACGCATCGGCGCTCCTGTCCTAAATTGACTGCTTTGACTTGTAACATTGGGGCCACAAAAGTAATTTATTTCATAGCTGTAGCACCGGAGCCATCAGGAAATATTATTAAGCCAATCTGAGAAAACATTACGCCTTTTCCATATCAAAGATTGCTGCTAAAGTACACTTTTTAAAAATCATTTTTTTAATGGAAGGTTAAAGAGAATTGATAGCAGTGCACTAAATGCACTTAGAGCATCACAGTACAAGATTCATTCTCGAAATAGCACCATTCCACTACCGTTAATTACCAAGACTTTTAAAGCATAATGTCTTGGTAATAAGTGTGTCAACCGTGTTTTATAGTATTAT